AAATGTTTTATGCTGTTGATCTCCCGTTCCCCTCCATTTTTTGATTAGTTGCCTGATGTAGTTTTCATTGCCTTTCTCTGACAGTGAGATGATACCTCTATGCCTGCTATTCAAAATCACACTGGTGTCTTGCATATTGCATGCTGAGAATATTTTATAAGCTGTTGGTGATCCTCCTTGCAGGCTCCTGTTTCCCCTGGCATCTCATCCTCATTGCAGATTCTTGTCTGCAGTTATCAGCCCCTGAACTACATTACTTTGCTTTTTCTATCCAGGCAGATCATCATAGAATCGTAGGATGGTATGGGTTGGAAGGGACCTTAAAGATTGTCTAGTTCCAGCACCCTCTGCCATGGGCAGGGGCACCTTCCACTAGACCAGGTTGCTCAAAGCCCCGTCCAACCTGGCCTTGAACACTGCCAGGGAGGGGGCAGCCACAGCTTCTCTGGGCAACCTGTGCCAGTGTCTCACCACCCTCACAGTAAAGAATTTCTTCCTAACATCTAATCTAAATCTACCCTCTTTCAGTTTAATCTACCTCTTTCTTATCGCTACACTCCCTGATGAAGAGTCCATCCCCACCTTTCCTGCAGGCCCCCTTTAAGCACTGGAAGGCTGCTGTAAGGTCTCCCCAGAGCCTTCTTTTCTTCAGGCTGCACAACTCCCAACTCTCTCAGCCTATCCTCATAGGGGAGGTGTTCCAGCCCCCTGGTCGTCTTGGCCCTCCTCCGGACCTGTTTGAGCAGGTCAATGTCTTTCTTGTGCTGGGGGCCCCAGAGCTGAATGCAGTACTGCAGGTGGGGTCTCACGAGAGCAGAGTAGAGGGGAAGAATCACCCCTCTATTGGGGTTGTTGAATTCTCCCATGAGGACTTGTGGACTTGTGGCTGCTCCTATCTGCCTATAGAGGGCCTCATCTGCTCAGTCCTCCTGGGCAAGCGGCCTGTAGCAGACCCCCACTATAATGTCTCCTGTCCCTGCCCTCCCTTTAATCCTGACCCATAAGCTCTTGGTCAGCTCCTCATCCATCCACAGGCAGTGCTCCATGCACACCAGCTAGTTATTGACATAGAGGGTGACACCCCCGCCTTGTCTCCCCTGCCTGTCTTTAATTTGAGCCTTACTTTTCCTGTTTCTGCATGGATCCTTTTGTGTTTCTCAGCGCTGTCACTGCTGCTCCAAAATTTAGCATCATCTGCAGTTGTAATTAATATGCTGTTTGCCTTTCTTTCAGGTCATTAATAAGGATGTTGAATAAAAATCTTCTGCCTATTGGTTTTGGCATGTTCCCATAAATAGCATCTGTGCACAGGCATAGTGTGCTTGGAAGCCTAGCAACCTGCCGGGTTCCTGTTTGCATGGTAGTTTAACCTCATATATCTTGTCTGTCTTGTATCCTCTCCCTGTCCCTGTGCACTGTTTCTCTCTTTTGTCCTTTTGCACAGGCTTGCTTGTTGTTTTCTCTTCCCCCTCTTCCTCTTTGTTCCCTCTCTTAAATACTTCTCCCACTGGTCCATTTCAGAGGCATTTTGCTTATGCTGTGCTCTATTGAGTGAGCTCGTGGTTGGAAATGATTCTGTCAGACCTTACGCCTCTTCAGGGTTCCAGGAAGGAGAACTTGTTATCTGCCCAGGGTAGGGCTATGTTGGGGCCCCACTCACCATGGAGGCATTTCACACCAGTTTACTCCATTAGCCTGTGGCTTGTGTATTGCAGAGCTTGCAGGGAGGGTGTCAGAGACAATGGAAGAAGGAAGTAAAATCCCTTGTTTGAGAGTAATTCTGCCTTGAGGTCTCGACAAAGAGTAGGGAGAAACAAGGAGGAACCCACTTAAAACCTTTGCTGGATTAAATCATCCTTTTTTGAAACAGATCCTGGTTTACTATCCAGTCAGAGTCAGCTCTGTGATTGGTGTTTGAGTTGTGCAGAGCACAGAACTCTTGGCATAGGCTCTGTTGTTTCAGGTACTTGCACCAGATCTCGGACTTCTCCTGGACCTGCAGCAAGCCCTAAACCTCCCTGCAGAGATTTGGGTCTTAATTGAGATAGCAGTTAGAGCTATTGGCTGGGGACACTACTTTTTGGGGGTAAAGCTCTGGCCCTGGCAGAGGGCTCTGGCTGGTGCTGCAGCCCAGCTGCCTGTGCTCAAGGATCCAGCTGGTGGGGTGATGAGACCAGAGCTACCTCCTGGGCCTTTCTGCACAGCTGTGGTCACCCTCCTGGCTGCGATGGGCATCCGGATGGGCATAGCTGAGGATGGCTGTGGGCATGTCTGTGACCATGACTGTAAAAAGAGGTCCAGGGGCTACATTTCCAGGGAATTGTCCTGAAGCCAGCATGTTCAGATAAATGGAAGAAAAGTGGGCTTGCCCAAAGCTAAAGCTCCTGTAATCATTGCTTTGAGCAGACAGCAATTCAAAGTAAACCATAGCCAACTGAAATCCTCTAGAACTATGTTAACTTGGGGCTCCACCACCTGTCCAGGCCGAGCTAGCTCTTGTTCTGGGGAGCAGCAGGCATGGCACAGAGCATTCCCACAACGTCTTAGGGGCTAAGGAAGGTAATTCGGCTCTTGTTCTGAGTAGATTCTCAAAAGAAACAATTTTACAGTAGCAGAAGCAGGAGTAAAGGCCCAAGAGGGCCCTGCAGACCTGTGGAGCTCCTTGGCATGCAGTGCCACAGTATTCAGAAGGTGCAGAGGTATGTGAGGATGACATGTGCCTAATAACATGGGTATCTGCGTTAGCAGAGTAGATCTGAACTCTCACACTGAACATAGTAATTGGGAGCTGATGCTGAGAAGGAGCTGCTTTGGAGTCTGTGTGTGACAGGAGAACCCTACTGCAGGTGTGAGGCAGAACGCAGAGCCGTGGAGTCAGCGCTGAGATGTGTTCCCAATCCAGTGGCACACTTCAGCTCCATGCCAGGCAGATGGCTCCCTGCCAGCAGCTCAGTGAAGCAGACACTCTGCACTGCCTTCAGTCCGTGAGTGAGGCAAAACTGAATAAATGATCAGAAAATGGCTTGAAAGGATCTTCCTCCTCTCCCTCTGGTTTTTATATGAAACTGTGAGCTGCACAGCTCTAGCTTGTTTTTCACACCACCAGAAATACCAGCCTTAAACCCACTGTCTTTCACACATCTGTTCTCTGGCTGCTCTGTTTCCTCTCTCATCCCAGGTCTCTCCAGAAAGGTTTTTTTCTGCTCTGTTAGCTTTTGCTTTTGCCTTTTTTTTTTTTTTCTTCTTGAAGTTTTCATTCCACTATTTAATTATTTTTTTTTTTCTTTTACTTAGGTATTAGCATGACACAACCTTTTGTCAGGTGGCTTCAGAGTTCCTGCTCAGGCTGCTGTACTGTTGCCGGAACTCCCATGTCTTGGGTCTCTTAGATGCTAGCCCTGTCTGCCTGGCAGCTCTGCATGCTCTGTCCCCAGGCTTGTGGCTAGCAAGTCCTCGCTCAGCCCTTTTCTAGCTCTGGCTTCCTTATCCCTCGAGCATCTCTCATTTCGTGAGCAGCCCTCTCTGTGCAGTCGGTGCTGGGGCTGGCCTGGCCTCCTGGTGAGGACAGCTCTGTGGAAATACCTCTTGGCATCATAGCTGGGCATCTTGGGGTGGTGGGGATGCTGCTGGCTTGCTGTTCTTCCTTCACATCCATCATCAGTGGTTACTGACAACCTCCGCCATCACACTCCAACAAAGCCCTGTCCCAGGCTGCACTCCTGACAGCCCTGCAGCACTGGTTGAGAGGAGGAAAAGCAGTATATATCATTTATCCTCAACAAGGTGGTCATCTGTGCTGAATTCAGTCTCCAGTACTTGTGGTGGCCTGTGGTTGTGTGTGAAGCCAGTATATACAGATAGCACAGCTCAGTCTACAGATTAAGTCTGAAATGCTGTGGTTTCTTTGTGAGTGTGATTTTGCTTTGGTAAGTCAGCCCAGTTGCAGAATTATCTTACTAAAACATGCAGAAGACAAATTGGCTATTTTAGCAGTTTCCTCTTTGTACATTAGGTACCTCACTAAATTAAGAACTATATTGTTAACTGTTTGGATTACAGGTTGTTTGTTGGTACTTTTTTTTTTTTTCCTTTTTCTACAGTAACTCTGTTTTTTTGCTCTTTATTACTTAGGAGACCCATTTAGTTACAGGTCTAAGAGGGAGTTTTCAGTGTAAGGGGAAATTGCTATTAACTGAGCTGCTTCGCTGTTCACTCCCTGCCCCTCAAAAATGAGCCAGGTAGGTAAGTAGTGGCTCTCTTCTCATATAGTTACTGTAGCTGTGCATAATTAATGTAAAAACAAGTGGATTATAGTCTGACTTTTGGTTTGAGTTTGTAATTTATTCTGCAAAGGAAAGCTTGAGACCTATCTTTACATGGCAAATGTTTATCTCTGCTATTTATGCACTGGGAATTAGTGGCCAAGTAGTATTTTCAAGCACCTTAATTCCTGTAAGAACCACAGAAATCTGATATCACTGTACAGTGCATTTGTCTGACAGGACTTGTTTCTGCTCTGGTCACCAAACTCCTGAGTAATTTTGTTTGTTTGTTTGTTTCTGGGCATGTTTCAGCCTTCAGGATTTGTATTAGGAAAATTCCTGCTTTTTTTTTGATTCCTCCTCTGCAAAGCCAAAAAATAGGCATGTTGGCATGTTGTGTGGGCATAAGGCCCAGCCATTTTAGCTTTATCACTGTGGTAGCAGCTGGGTCTGGCAAGTCCCTGGAGGGCTGGAGAGGGCAGGAGGACGGAGCTTGTGGTCGTGGCCCAGGGAAGCACTGGGAAAGCTCCATTTGATCAGGGCAGCAAGTTTCTGAGAGGCTCTGAGGAGATTTCCTCATTCTGGTTGGCCTTTCTGCCTCTCTGCTTGCTGAGCCGCACAGACCGGGGCTGGCTTGTTCCTGACCATGGGGAGAGCCCGACATGCCAGCTGCCCCCTGTGAAATAGGTGTCCCCCTCCTTTTGCTGGGGCACAACACCAGTCAGTCCTGAAATATAGCTGAGCTTGCCTGCTTGTGGTTGATGGCTGGAGACATGCTACCTGCGAGGCCGCCTGTGCAGCAACAGAAGTTCTGCAGAAATGTTTCAGATCAATCCTCCTCCTGTTTGTAGCCCAGGGCTTCCCGGGAAGTGTGAATTGGGAATGATACTGGGAGGGGGCCTGGGCTGGGAGGTGCTGTTCAAAGGAGTGGACACTGGGGGCTGCCCTAGGGTCTAGGTGCCACCCTAACTCCCAAAATACTGTTGTCCGTTCTGCTGCAATGCTGGTGGAGTGGGCTGAATGAGTCTCTGTTAAGCTGAGCTCTAGAAGAGCTGAATCATCAAGTGGCATAATTCCCTTGTATTCATTGCAGCTATTCCATGTGGTCTGTATGTTACCTGTCACTCAGCCTCATTCTTGCGCTGGAGAGAGAAAGAAAGCAAAATCAACCTTAATGTTCCGTATGTCTCGTTCTACCCACTTATCTTTAATTCTGGTTTTAAGCAATCAATCATGATTAAGATGGATGGATACCTTGAGAAGCACTTGGTAACTAAACTATTTGTTGTTTTGAGTGGGAGAAGTGCCCCCCTTTGTGCTTTAAGAAAGCAAAGAGACTACTGAAGATGGAAGATTTCAGCCCTTGTGACTAGCATGAGGTTAGCCAGTCGTAAAGCCCATAGACAATATGTTCTTGTAATGATTTGGGACTATAATCTTAATACTTTTCTGTTAGCTGGATAATATCAGGATTCTGTGTGTCACAGATCTATTTCCATAATTATAGTAATTTAAGTGATTTGGAAGGCCTTAGTGATGTTTCTGCACAGCTCAACATCACGTACAGAAAATGACAGGATAGGTTTTCCCTAATTTCATAGAAGTCCAAGTCCTTGTGCAAGAACCGCAAGACTGCAGCAAAGACTGGAGTGTGAGTTGTTGTGGTGTTGGCATTTTACTGACCTGATCGTAATCTGTAAATTCAATAAAATCTGTAAATAATGTGCAGAGAGAATATATGATTTTAATTTCATTTCTGTACCTCCCTTCAGGAAGCAGGCATAAGTCTGAATTTGGCGATAGACTTCAGCGCACTGGGCATAACTGCCTTTTCTGGGAGCGGCTGGAATGCTGCAGCCTGTCAAAAAGGAGAATTGCCTCCTCAGTGATGGTGTCCAAAGCAGGTTTTAGAGATGCGTAGTCTTTACTAGGACCATTCTGACTCCATTTGTCTGTTGCATTTTGTGAGAGAGTCTTTACTTTTCTGTGTGGGAGATGACAGAAATTTGGACCATGTACATAATGTGAAACAGTTTGAGTAAATCTGTTTTTAATGGCTCTAGTGGAGTGGATAAGGTCCATTTACTCCTTCAGTCCGCAGGGCTGACAATCAACATGAAATACGGTTACCGTTATTTTACCAAATATCTTTCTGTTATATTTTCTCAAGCACTGTGAGTTGGAGTGGATAGAGGGACACAGTAGACACCCACCTTACATATACATATTTTTGTTTTCTTTTTGGAAAGATTGAAGTTTTACATTACATATTGGGAAAAGCTGATTGTGAATTTCTTTCTAGCCACTGCGTGCCCTACAGGGTTCCTTTCTGGACAGACTGTTGTGCAGACACAGACATAAGTAGAAAAAAACCCCTTTTAGGGACAGGGTTTCCCCTTTTTGTTCCAGTAACTCTATTTAGGTATTTGAAATAGGCTGTTTTAAGCAAAACATGCCTCTGTGTGTAGGGTGGCTGGGAGTCCTGGCTAAACAGCACATTGCTTCAGATCATGCAAATTCATTTGAGGTTGTACTGTAATATTCTTATCCACTCTTGTTTTAATTATACCCTTGTAAAATGAGCCTGTACTTGATAAAGAAGCACAGTCCAAACCCAGGGTTTCCTGAAGCAGTTTCGGGCATTGAATCTTACAAAAATAATTTAATAGTGTGGTACAGTTAGCAGGGTCAGCGCAAGCTGGGTGCCTCCAGAGAGGGACCCCGAACAAAGAAATCCCTGGGCTTTTATACCCTTACAATGTAATCCTTCATGCGATCTTCAAGTGCCTCAGATCCTCTGACACCTTCTGACTCCGTATTGGATTCCTTCACTGTCTCCAGGCAGGCTGGTATCTTGACTAGTTGCAGCTGCTGTTGATGGTTTTAACCTTGATGCCTACTTATCTGCTGATTTACACTGGTTCTCGAGGCCTTGTCTTGCTTGAATAGATACAAGTTCTGTACATGTTCAGTAAATCTAGGTGAAAGTTTACCGTTTGCAGCCTAAGGCTTCAGCAAATCTAGCTACTCATGATAAGTCAGTAAAGCTAAGGAATTAGCATACTAAATCACACAACATTATAACTCTGAAGTGTTTAATTCAATTTAAAACTTACTTATTTAAGCTAAACAACTGATTTCTCATACTGTGTCTAAAGAGTACTGCTAAAAGATATTAACAGCTATGTTGTTTTCTAACATAGACATAAGTCTATGTATCATGACAGCTGGGTAGCTTGAATGTGAATAGTTTTAAGTGGTCCAGTTTATTTGGGACTTACGTAATACTTTCCTCCTAGCTGTTCCCATTTTCCCTCTGGTCTCTCTCCAAAAGGAGGAGCAGCTTTAAAGCACTGTTCTTCCAACCCTTTCCCATAGTCTCCTCTTTTGTTGCAAGTCAAAACAATCCATCTATGGATCATCCATCACACAGGAATTCAGAGACAAAACCAGGGAATACATCAAACGAGAAGGAATGAATGCACAGATGCATGGCTCAGCAGGCCCGGGTCTACTGTCTTGTTCTGCTGCCTCAGCCAGCCATTCCCCCTGCCCCTGGAAATGCGAGGTTAACCAGCTGGAGCACATGCTGGAGCACATGCGAGTGTGGCCCCTGCTGAAAGAAGAACAAGAGACATACTGATGCTGCAATGGTGGTTGGTGAGGGTATTATTTTAAGCATGATGGGTACACTATGGGATGCATGTGCTTGAGCTATGTGTCTGCCTTGGAGCCAATGTGGTAAGGAACAGATCTGCTCCCGTGCTATGTTTGCCATCTGAAAAAAGTGCTCAAAACGAGTTTACTTGGCCAATTTTTTAACTAAGGGAAGGAAAAGCAGTTCCTGAAACTGAGGGAGCTGGTGAATGCTCCAATTCCTGGCACCTTTTCGTTACTGACTCATAAGCTCCCAGTGATAAGAGAACTCTGACACAACTTGTATCTTTAGGGGTGGGATGTGATGCTCGTACACTATCTGACAGATAGGACTTGAGCAAAGACCTGTCCGGAGGAGGCTGATGCAAGTATGAACTTTCACTCCACTGTACTTGGTGAAGGCATGCTGTGTAAACAAGTCATGGCATGGTGCTTCAGTGCTGCTAAACTCCTTGAACAACACACTGGCTAAATGGCGAGGGGTGGGAAGTGGAATGATGTGTCTCTGAGGTCACTGGGAAGAGAACCTCACCTCCTGTCTTCCCAGCCTTATCTTCTGAGTGACACTGCAGGTGTTGGCAGGCAGGGGCAAGGATCATCTTTACATCAAAGAAAGCAAAAATAATGGCAGTTGGCCCCTGGCATATCCTGTGATTTTATTTATTTCTTTTGTGTGTGTGTGTCTTGCAGCATATTTCTGTTTCCTGATGACAGCCCTGGGTGTGACGGCTGGTGCACATCGCCTGTGGAGCCACCGTTCCTACAAAGCCAAGCTGCCTTTGCGGATCTTTCTGGCTGCAGCTAACTCCATGGCTTTCCAGGTGGGGTTGTGGTTGCCGGTCCAGATTGTGGGCCTCCAGGGAGCTTTCTCGTGTGCAGGGATCCCCTCAGCTTAGAGACAGCAAAAGAGAAAAAAAAATATTGGCAGAAAGACATTTGCTGATAACACACTCTGCTGGCTTAGGGGATGCCTTAGGCAGTCCAGGAGCAATAATTACTCAAGGACCAGGTTTGGCATGCCTAGACCAGGGTCTCAGCACCCCAGCAGCCTGTCTGTGGCACAGGTCAGGCCCCACACTTCACAGGACAATGCGGAAACTCTTGTAAAGGCCAACTTGGTGCAAATATGTCTGCATAATCAAGTCTTTTTGTCCATCCAGGCAGTTGGAGATTTTGACGTGCCCAGAAATGAGAGCAGGCATCCTTTCATAATCTTAATTTATTTCTGTTTTATGCAGCATTTTTCACCAGTAAAATTCAAATATAGTTGCAAAGAAGCGTGTCATTAGCTCTGTACTTACTGATACACAATCTTAGACCTCAAAAACGTTTATCTGACACCCAGCTGGTGGTAGGAGTTAGCCCAGAATGGGGATCATCTTTGTATGAATTTAGTTACTCCTTTGGCTGCTCAAAATAGAGACATGAACCTGTACTAACATTAAACTTACCGAGCTTGGCTGCTGTAACCCCTTGTGGCACTGAGTACCACGTGTGTGTTGTGCCTCGAGTTTTCAGGCTTTTCCCTTCCCAGCCAGCCAACCCTGTTTGTTTGACTTCTTGTTCATGGACCTTGTCAGAGGATGAAATTCTTTCCTTTTATGCACTTCTGTACTGTTCATTTATCATCTTTGATGTATTTTTTTTTTTAATAAGGTGGAAAGAATTCATCTTGTTAATCCCTGTAGACATTACAAAGAGCACAATGGTTTTGCTTGAATATGGGAATGTGTCCATTTTGTCTATGACCTTCCTTTATTCTGAGCAATATTGCAGCTGCTTGGTTCTGCTCAGTTCCTTGCAGAGCTTTATAAGCCCTTTGCTCAGTGTGTTAAACAACTGTTTTGAGTTTTGAGAACCTCCTGGTACTATCCTCCTGTTTTACAGCCAATCTTATCTGTCATAAGTAATTTAAATGAATGTGTTGAGCTACTTGCAGTGAGCTTGCGTGTTGGGATTTCATTGTGTTCTGCTCCCCTGTTGTGACAGATTTTGCTCTCAGCTGCACTGGCCTCATCACTGCTTTTGTCTGATGACATAGTGTGATTCTGAGGCAGGGAAGTACTTCAAAGTAGCTTCAAGCCACCTTTGTGCCCTTTGTATCAGAAAGAAAATGAAAGGCCAAATCACCCACTCTTAAGTTTTAAGTGGTCTGAAGCCTGCTCCTAATTACCTTGACATCCATTGCCTGCTAAAGGCTGTTTTCACCACCACAAGCAGACAGGGAATGAGTTTTCAGGTCCCTGTCCCTCATGTTGTCTTTGGGAGGAAGAGGTAGCATTGGAGATACTTACAGCATCCCTGGATACTGAATATTGCAGAAATACTCAGACATCTTGAAGGGCAGGGGAAACGCTACTGAAAAGTTTTATCTTGATGCTGCATGGGCTGTGACAATGCTGTACTTCCTCTGAAATACCACCAGATGCAGCCATTTTTGCCCTGTTGCCTGGTGCATTTTTTATGATTGGAGCATGCTGAGCTGTGTTTCTTCTCTCCATCTAGAGTGAAGCGCTCACAATTTTGAAAGACTGTGCTTCTTGCTGTCACATGTCTGTTTCAGAAATAGGTAATACCTGGCTTATCTCTACTTGATCTCCTAGTGGTTTAAGTTTCAGAATCTCAGTTGGGACATGCTGGTGTCTCCTCTGGTAACTGCGTGCTACTCCTGGCCATTTCTGTTAAACAAGCTGTGTTGTTAGCTAACGCTGTGCTGTGAGAATTTGCACACAGCAACAGTGGTTGTATGGAAATTCATGTCAGCACACTGAGGTTGTTACACAGCCCAATTTATTGTCATGTTTTGGTCTGCAGGTTTGTTAAGGGACCTGCTGATGAAGCCTCATGTCTGCATCACTGTCACAGCATGATGCTGTCGCTCTCTGTGTTGGAAGGGATTTTACTCCTGTGTTTACCTGAAACTTGATCTAAAGTGATGTGTTCCTGAAAAATGGTTGCTATTAATATGCTCGGAGCATATTTACACATGCTGTGTGCTGGTTCTTGGTATATTTATTGCCAGCAGTTCTGGCCTGTGGCCTTTATTTCCTCTTAGCCTTTGTGGTTTTTAATTAGATGCAATTCAGTTGTTTCACAGCTTCCTAACCCTTTCATCTGAGGAATCATGGTTTTTGCCAGCTCTGCAGGTATTTACTGTGGTGTGAAAAGCCAAGTTAATTTCTCACAGTGTCATTGCTTTGAGCTCGTTATCTGCTATCTCACAAATCATTTTATCAAGTGCTCTTGTGACAAAATGATCGATAGTCTCACTTGAAAAAAATATTTCTGGTTAAGAAAGAGGACTTTTCCTAGGTGTGTTTCTTGCATAACCCTGTTTTATTCTTAAATTACTTAATCTTGGCATTTTCCAGTCTTCTGGCTATTCTCGCTTAAGCCTCTTGAAGCAGTGTAGAGGCTTTCATTCCCTTTGATTTCTCTGTAGGAAAAAAATAACATGGCAGCAAGGTAGAGATCTGCCCTTGTTCTCACTGAGGAGTCTGGTGACTTCCTTTGCTTCACTCAGTTTTCTTTGTTCTCTTGTGCAATGGGATAGTTACGGTGCGACATACTGAAGCGCTGGTAAGGGCTGATCTTTACCGCCTCCTCTCAATGGCTTAGATGAGCCAGTGCTGCAGACGAATGTTTCCCTCATCCCCAGCCCACTCCCAGCATAGCTGTGGTGATGGCAGGACAACAGTACAGGGCTGAGCAAAACAAGTGCAATGCAGCTGAGATCTTTCCAGGGCTTTTGTTCTTTGCATGTCCCTTGTGGGCTCTTGCAGACAAGAGAGCATCTTTGCAAGGCTGGAATTGGATATGGAGGCATTTGAGCTGGATTCTTTAGCTGCTCTTTGCAGTTGTTCCTGGAGTCCCCTCAGCAGCATGGGAGTCCTCGGTGTTTTTTCTCACATGTTGGCAGCTGAAAGAGCGATGATTTCTGCAACGCTTTTGTCTCACAAAACATAGATATACACAGTTGCCATTAGCCTGGGTAGTATATTCAGTGCCGTGATGGCTGTCACACTGCTGTTACTTCACAGACACTGCAGACAGTTTGCTCAGTTCTGCTGGAAGCAAAGCTGCTGTGGTTGGTGGTTGTGGATGCTACTGCTGCTCCTAAAAGTAACCCAAGCTTGCCCTTCCTTCAGGTATTACTGCTTGGGTACCTGCCTGGCTGTGCAACAATGGAAATAGCAGAGGAAAGCACACTCTGCTAAGCATTCTCTGATTAAAGTTTACACCTCTGCAGATCTGGGCATTAACTAATATTTCCATGTTTTGGTGCTGGTGTTGGGCAATTCAAGTCATAGATGAGTGTGAGGCCTGAGTTTTGCAAGTGTTGTATATGCTTACAGTGCCCTGCACTAATAGCTTGGCACCACTGCAAAACCCACCAGTTTAGTCCAATAGCTAGTGCATCCTGCGGAACAAACCAGCAAGCTCAAATCCCTTCAACTGAGTAAACTCAGAATGTCTCACTTTATGGATCTAAGTCTGAAATTGCGCTTCGTCCGTTCCTCCCTGCAATCCACATAATCCCTTTTACAGCCATAAGGCATTTCAGTGACCCATATCTGCTGACAGCTTGAGCAGCAACAGGACTGAACTTGCTTTATATCTGATCTAGATCCAGTGCTGAGTTGATGTTATGGGTCTGAGACTTTTATTCTGGCCTGGCTGCGAATGCAAGACTTGATTTCTCGTAAAATAGGCACATCTCTCTCCTGTAATATCTTAATCATGGAATGGTTTGGGTTGGAAGGGACCTTAAAGATCATCTAGTTCCAACCCCCCTGCCATGGGCAGGATCACCTTCCACTAGACCAGGTTGCTCACAGCTCCATCTAACCTGGCCTTAAATACTTCCAGGGAGGGGGCATCCACAGCTTCTCTGGGCAACCTGTTCCATTGTCTCACCACCCTCACAGTAAAGAATTTCTTCCTAATATCTAATCTAAGTCTACCCTCTTTCAGTTTAAAAACACTATCCCTCATCCTGTTGTTACACTCCCTGATAATTTTAATAGAGGTGACAGTTTTACTGTGGTAGCTGCATCGCCTCAGAAGACTGAGCAAGTTCAGCTTCTGTTCAGGTCAGGAAAAGGCAGGTGTAGTGTTCTACAATCTCTGTCCCATTTTCAGCACTGCTTTTTGTGCCTGGAGGGCAGCCGCAACCAGCTTAGAAAAAGGATGCTAGAACTGAGTGCCTCTGCAGAGTACTGCCCTGAAAATAAATATGCAAGTTCCCTCATGGCAGGGTCATAAAATAATCATGTAAACGTGTGTGTACCTGGTCCCTCCAACCCAGTGTCCATCCTCGGACAGCAAACACTCAGGGAGGGCATGGGACAAGGGCAGACTCCCAAGAGGCTGTTGGCTTCCAGCCATCTCCAGCCCTGGGATGTGTCCAGTCTCTGTCACCGGTTCCCAGAGCATGTCCCATTCTGTGTGGGCACTGACAGGAGCAGTGTTATGGGCGGACTAGCTGTCTGCAGAGCTGGATGTCTTTAGTCAATAACCTTTTCTAAGGAACATCAGAGAGGGGCTTGATGCTGTTACTGTGTGGAGAAGGAGCTGGAGGTAGTACTGCTGGAGCAGCGCCTGGCTTCTCTCCTCTCACCCCACCACGCTTTCTGTGCAGAACGACATCTATGAGTGGAGCCGAGACCACCGCGTGCACCACAAGTACTCAGAGACAGATGCAGACCCACACGATGCACGCCGCGGCTTCTTCTTCGCCCACATCGGCTGGCTGTTTGTGCGCAAGCATCGGGACGTCATAGAGAAGGGGAGGAAACTGGATTTCACTGACCTGCTGGATGACCCTGTTGTCAGGTTCCAACGAAAGTAAGTGGGAGTGCTGGGCCCTTGTGCAAGGCAGTGTGGAGAAGTCTCTCTGCCTGGTTGTCTAGTTGTGACTCATTCATTATTTTTATCTTGCCCTTTTCTCCCCCAAGAGAATCCCTGCCACCTTGATTGCAGGCATTAGGACTGCTGTCCCTCTGACCCCCACTATTGCCATATGGCTGATGCTTGCTGACTGTCTTTGCAGGCTCTGCTGTACAAGCAGTGAGCCCTCTCTTTGTCCCTCTGCTTTTCCAAAAAGGTAGGGCTGGCAGTGAAAACAGCCACAGCAGAAGTTGCTGGGATTTTGCCCTTCTCCTTTTATCGTTGGAGCAAATGTTGTAATCACTAACTGCCTTCATGCAAAGTGCGCATTTCACTCAGCAAACTGATCTTTTGCACCTGTGGGCCAGTGCAGACCAAGCGCTTCCTCTCCCAAGACTGTCATTCTTCACAGGATTAATTATCTCCCTTGAAAATTAGCACAGACCTAGTTCAGTTTGCTACGTGCTCTGTGAGTGGTGGGAATTCAGCAACGTGCTTTGTCCTCTATGTGAGTACCTGTATTTTAGGCACAAGAAGACTGTCTGCCTGCGAGCATTTGGTCCAGGTGCTTCAGGAAACCACGTAAGCTTATTTCTGAGTGTTTTTTGGGTGAGGGGAGCAGTCAGTTGAGTCCAGAAATCAATTTATTTTTTGCATTAGAGAAATCCATACACTAGCAGAATTATCCCTGCATTGGAAGAGCTCCAGGAGTGAGGAATTCACGGCTCTCCATGTATTGTTGCTTTTACTGGTTCCTCGATTGGCAGTGCCTACTTGCAAAAGCTCCCTGGCAGTTTGCTATAGCTCCTCTTGGTTGTGGTGTTACCTTTTCCAAGACAACAGCATCCCACAAGAAGCAGGCTCTACTGCTTTGTTTATGCTGCAAATGTTGTGTAGTGAAGAAATATGTTTTCCGCAGGGAAGTTATATCTTAGCAGATGTCTGTGCTCTGGATTTGAATTTAGGATTTTGGAGTTTACTTTTCCTTTATCTGGGAGGAAAAATTCAGGTTTTTCCTTTTTGTAGGGTTGAAGGGGTTTTTTGACAGCATGGAAAACCTGGCAGATCAGATCAGTAAGAATCATAATAGAGATAATAATAAAGATCGTAATCACCTTCTTTGTCACGTTCGATTTAAGGCCAGATTGTTAGCTTTGCTGAATTTAGTGGTGCTAGTGAGCTGTGGACAAGGTACTGCTCAATCTGTTCTCATATGGCGAAAGCAGCACTGTTCCCCAAGCATGAACTGAGGCATTGGTACCCCTGAACTCCAGGTAAGGAGGTTTCTCATTCCAGGGGAGATGTTTCAGTCAAAGGGAGACAGAAAACATAGTTGGGTGCTCGTTGAGATGCGAGATCTCGTGTCTTCATCAAAGACTTCAGTCTGGGCTTTTTGCATCTCACAGAATGGTTTTAATTGGTGCCTGATAAGCTTTTTTCATATTTTATTTTATTTTCCCGGAGTGGAGAGAGGCTTTGAACTTTGAAGGAGTTTTCTGGACTAGAAAATATTTTTCTCCTTCAGCTCTACTTAAATCCTGGCCTTGAATTGATGAGGTTTGCAAACCTTATCCACAGCCTGGTTCAGAAGTCAGTCAGATGAGTGTGAAATTATGTTATCTTTGGTGAAGTGAAGAATGGGGACTGTTTCATTTGGAGAGCATTGGCTCAGGTAAGTGAAGATAGAGTTCTGTGAGAGAGCTGAGGAGATGCTCTTTTCACCATGGTTGGTGTTGCTGGAGAGCTGCAGATGTCCTTCTGGAGCCCATCATGTGAGGCACAACCTCCAAACAACAAAAAATATCAAACAAAGAACTTGCAGGGGAGAGGTTAATTTATTTCATACATGAGATGATCAAAACTAGCTGGTGTGTTGTAGATGAGAACTATGTTCATGGAAACTTTCTTCCTTCCAAAAGTACTGCTAATATTAACATTTTCCCAATCCTATGTGGATTTTAATTGAAAATTGTTTGTTTTTGTCAAACCAAATTGACAGTTCTTCCTATCTGAAAAACTTTCAGCAAAGGGAAAGTTTTAGTAACTGTTTAATAAATCCATACTCTGTTTTTCCTCATACCTTCCAGAAAACTCAACAAAAGCAGGGGTCTATTTTAAACCTGTCGTATAGGCGCAAATAAGATGGACCTTACTTTGTGTTTCTTTTCTTTGTGCACCCTTGAAAATCCTGTCACCTCAGCCTACTGCTCCAGTTTCATATGGCGGCTTGCTTTGATGATGATACCCTGGGATCACTGTGGGCTGTAGTAAATCTGGGCTGCAGGGAGGTGGAAGGGCTCAACGGGGAAGACGGGGCCTTGTTTCCTCTCAAGCTGGGGACTCACTGTAGGTGGCTGCCAAGCTGCACTGTCTTGCTGCTCTCTGCTTCTGAGTGCCGCTAGCCCATTCTCCATTTACAGACATTTATTTCCTATCTCACTTTTGGCTTTGCCTCCCCACTTCTTGCTGAGCTGCTCCTCTTCTCCACTTGCCTTGGATTAATTCCCCCAGCATGAGTTTTTTTCTTGTTGCTCTTGCTATGGTCTCTGCTCTTCACCTCTGTGCTGCCTGCATCCTATGCTCTCTCTTCCCCGTCTTTCCTGGGCATGTGGCTTTAGCTGTACTATAAAGCTTTCCTGTTTGTTCTCAGGCTGTTCAGCTTCCTTCCTCTCTGTTTTGCACTGTGTACTGATTTTGTCCAATATACGGAGGAGTGGTAGGGCTTGTGTCAGCCAGTGGGCTGGGAGAGTGGCAGTAATCCTGGCCTCCAGACCAAGACGCATCTTTCTCCTCACCCTTGGTGGGGTGGCCATGATCTCTCAGCAGCTGCTTTGGGTCTGCCACCACTGTTGAAGCTCATGCAGCAGCAACGGCATAGAAAGGAGCTGCTCCTGCCCTGTGTTGCAGGTTCCCTTCTGATCTGAGCATGGGGGAGGTCCTTGCCAGCTCTCAGCAGTGAACGTGTTTTCAACACAGCTCCACTGATGCCACGCCAAGCCCTGGGCTTTTCCAGTCCCAGAGCTGGACCCTAAGTGCAGGGTGTGCAGCCAACTGTGTGCTTCCCAAGGTTTAAAGGTGCTCGACTTGGGAGGTTTGCTTTGGGACTGGATCTCAGCTGTTCAGCTCCAGTTACTGGAACCTGCTGCTTCAGGGTTTCAAGTTGTCTTGGCATTTTGGATTGCACTTGGAAAATTTGTCATGCCTGTGGATGTCTGAAATGTTCCCTGCTGCCCCAGTTATGGGGCCAGCCCGGGTTATGCCAGGGGTTTCTGGAAGAGCTGTGCCTCCAGAGATCCAACCCCACTTCACCCCAGCTGTAATTCCCACGATGGTAATGGCATCCTTTTCTTCGCTTACAGGTATTACAAGAGTTCAGTTGTGCTCATGTGTTTTGTGATCCCTACCTTTGTGCCATGGTACCTCTGGGGTGAGAGTCTGTGGAATGCCTACTTCCTTGCCTCTATCCTCCGGTACACCATCTCCCTCAATGTTACCTGGCTGGTCAACAGTGCCGCTCACATGTATGGCAACCGCCCTTATGACAAGTCCATCAACCCCAGGCAGAACACCTTTGTCACTCTGGGAGCCATTGGTAAGTGCTATAGCCCTGGGTGGAGCTTTGCAAACTCAGAGCAACATCCCATCCTGTTTCACTGTGGCTGGGTCTTTGGGCACCTGCAACTGGACACCACTGTGAGCCAGGGCTTAGGCTCCCTTGTTCTTCTGATGGTGCCCACACTGAAATAATGCTCTGTAGTTTCTGGGCAGAGACATGTTCACAGTACCAGTCCTCTCTTCTCAGCATTTGGCTGAGGACAGTGCAGCAGAAGTAAGTGACTCTGCTTCTTGCTTCATTGTGTGTCTTCCCCTCTTGAAGCAATTACGATTTTCTTCCCTGAGCATAAGGGGTGGGACATGCCCCTTCCCACTGGAGAGGAAAGTCCAAAGCACTGAAATGGAGTCTGTGGTGGGTCTGCCCCAGAGATCTCTCATAGCCAGGGGTGAAGCATAACCTGCACTGGATTCAAGACTTGGGAAAGAGGCATTGGGATGTCCCACCGAAGAATGTTCCTAAGTTCAGAAATGTGTCAGCCATGTGGTCTTTAGACTCCCTTTCTGTTTTTCAGGTGAGGGCTTCCACAACTACCACCACACCTTTCCATTCGACTACTCAGCCAGCGAGCTGGGCCTGAAGTTCAACCCCACCACCTGGTTCATTGACTTCATGTTTTGGTTGGGGTTGGTCACTGACCGCAAGCAGGCTCCAAAGGAGATGATCCAGGCTCGCAAGGAAAGGACTGGAGATGGCAGTGCTTGAAAAATAATGCTTCACTGTGCCAGCGCTGTCGTACATGTGGGTGGGTGGGCGTGCACACACCCCTGTGCCTGTGGTGGATTTATTTTCCTCTGGATAAAATAATTTTTTTCAGATCAGTTGGGCCGAATTAATTCCCCAGGAACAGCTTCAGACTCAGCTTTTTTTCCTTGTTAGTTGTCTTATGTCCAAACTCCAGACTATTAAGTGTAAAAATGTTACATATTATTTAATATTAGCGTTAAACAGGAGAGAGATTTGATTTTAGTCACTGTAGTTCATGTCTGAAGTACATTGTAATTTGCTTGTTCATGGTAAATGTTGGCGGGTTGGAGGAACTAAGTATCCTTTCCAAGTGCAGTTAAGGGAGATTTTTGTTCCTACTATTAATTGAATAAGTTTTTGAGACGCGTCTCTCGGAAGGGATGGGGCAAGGTCCAATGTGCTGTTTCAACTACAGACTAATGGAAAGGACAGTAACAGCACCAATGACAAACAGGATGTCCAAGGGGAAAAATTGGCCTAAATTTAGTTAGACGTTAGTTTGAAAACCTGCTTTCTTCTTTTTGTTAGCCCTATTAGCCAGCCCCGTGTGCTGCTGTCTTTGCTAAAAATGAACCATTTATTGCTGAGCAGGCTTTTGTGTTGAAGATTGGTCTCTATATGGGCCAAAATACCAACTGATGCTATGTTGAAATGATTCCTTTGTTGTTGCATATACACTGTAAAGGTATTGAGCTCAACCATGTTTTAAGCCAAATAAAGCTTCAGTTTCAATGTTTGGAGACCTAAGTTACATTCTAATTGGTCATGGCAATCAATGCATGCATATTTTAGCTCCTTTTGCACAAGAGGCCTCTTAATTTCTTTTTCTGCCTTTTGACTAGTGAGTCTTAGAAAACTGACCTTTATCGAAGTCAGTCTACTAAGATTTCAGGTGCATGCAACATCCATTGGTTTCTGAGCAAAATAAAGACAGTTATGTAGCTTCTGAATTTTGACCATTGCCTTGTTTAAAAAAACTAAAAGGAAAAAAATACTTAAAAAAAAAAAAGTGCATGTGGAATTAATGGGAAATATAGCCCTTTGTGTTACATGTTACCCAGTGCAAGAGAGAGGCTTCATACTGTCAGCACTGGAGCACTTCTGAAGATAGAGGGCACGATTTTCGTTTCTAAAGAACATCACTGCCTTGCCACTTGGAGAGGGAGTGCCCATTTTCCCCCTGCGTGGCCCCATGCCCTGGGCAAGGCAGGGATCTCAAGATAACTGAGACTCAGTCACAGATGTTTTCAGGAAAGCTGTAGAATTGGGGAAAAAAAATTAAAATGGTTTCTTTTTTGTTCTGTTTCTTGTTTTTTAAATGATGCCCTATAATATGAAAGTTGTCTTTATTCTGTATTTCATCCAGCAGGTGTTTTAACAGTGTTACTTTGCCATTAATGATGTGTAAACTCTTGAGTGATTTACAATAAACAGTTATGAGTTAGACTGGCTGCTGTGTTTTGTTTTGAAACATCTCCCAAAGTGAAGGGCTTTGTGCTTCACACGTCAGAATTGCAGCAGTTTTGCTTGGCATTTCAGCTATTCATTTGGTGCAGCATTTCCGAAATACTGACCCTCTCAGCATTTCTGGTCTCCTCATCAGTGGAAAAGGGGTGTTGTCAAACAGAAGGGCACCGAGAGATTTGATTACTTTGGGCTTAGTGACCAAGTTGATAGAGGAGAAAAAGAATATTAGAGCTGACATAAGCTTGAAGGGAGACCACGTCACGTTCTTCTTGCATGTGAAAAGCCCACTTCAATAGCAAAATATAAAAATATTTTTAATAAATGTAAATAGTAAAATAGCAAAAAAAAATTGACCAAAAATACTGTTTTGTTTAGATTTTGCTGTAAGTTCTCCTTGTTTCTGGCTGAGACGTGCCTGAAGACTTGGGTGTGCTAGAAGTCATGTCTTGATGTGCATTCATCTGCGGCTGGGGCCATTTGACAGACGTGGGAATTATACACACATGAGTAGGAGACATCTCCCCACCACCCCCTACAGTGCCTGCAAGAGGGGGTGGAAATGAGCTCCCAGAGCTGGGAGGTTTCTGACCTGCTGATTTGAAAGATAGCACTGTAGCTTCCCTCTTTGCTTGGTTGATGAGCAGTTGGAGAACAGCAAAAGTCGTTGGAAACCTGCCTTCAAAATGATGCAGGTAATGGGTTTGGACTTGATGTTTGAATTTAGGAGTGAAGCTGGGAGGATACGCTAACCTTACTGGTCCTCCCATCATTTCGTTTGTGCAATTTCCTGGCTGGAGAACTGCAGTGAATGCACTTTACAGGCACTTAGATACACATCTTCCTGTTGATCTTTATCATACTTTAGATCTTTTTTTTTTTTTCTCTTTTGTTCTGTTATTACTTGGACTTCCTTAAGCTGATTCCTGTCAAGTACATGGTGTAAGAAGAATAACTGGCCCTGCAAAGAGGTACATGCTGCTCTGAAGCTCTCTGAGTATCTGAAATTACAACAAAGTAACTTTTTTTTTCCCCTGCGGGTATACAACTTCAGCAGCAACAACAGTTCCAGTGGGATTTGGGGATCTGAGATTTTGAAACCATTGGCAAGTTACCCATGATTTTGAAAAACTGAAAGTAAGTAAAGAAACATCATTCAGGAAAGGAAAAGCTCCTCCATCAAATGTTTTATCTTGGAGCTTGTACTACCTGAGTTCCTGTTTCTGTAGATGAATTTCTCCATGTGGTGGAGTTCATCAAAAAATGTCAGTTAGCCTTTGCAGGAAAACTAGATAATTTTTTTTTTTAAGAGAATGCCTTGAATTTTGGTAAAACAAAGAATACTTCCATGTGTTTCCTTTTCTGCTTATTTATCGTGATTTTTTTCCCATGTTTATTTTTTTTACTTATTTGTTTTGATTTTATTTTTTATCGGAAATGATTTTGGCCATGTTCTCCCCTTCTTCAAGAAGATGTAGGGTCTCTGGAAGGCAGGAAAGGCCCAATTCTCCTCCTAGGGCAGCTGCTGGATCCACCCACAGCTGTGTGCAGTGACACAGAGAAGTCATGGAGCCTCGGTAAGGTGGGTACTGAGGTATGAGCTGTATTCAATTCTGTGGACTTTGGTATCTCTGCTGCTGATATGGTAGTCAAGGACCCTGCTAGTGCTTTCTGAGCAGCACAAAAGCATTGAGGGACTTCTGGTTGATGTGTGGCTGGCTGTAGGTTGGGCTAAACCAAGGATACAGTGACTGTCAAACTTTTCTAAGACCCAATGATCTGCCAGTGCGTGATCTTCTGTTGTCTCTGACTGTTCTCAGCACATTGAACCATCTGGAATAACACCGTGTAGGACTGAGAACAAGAGGTATGTTGCACTGAGTGTTTCCAGGCTCTCAGCAGCCTGGACTGGATCTTTTTTATCTCTCTTTTTTTTTTTTTTTTTTTTTTTTTTTCCCAGAACTAGTGGGGCCCTTAGGAAATGCAGTGTTGGCTCAGGAGTCGTCTGCTCCTTCCACAGCAGAATCCCAGAGCAAGTCACCTGATTTCTGTTGTGGCGTGGCTCAAGGAAATGCTATACCTGCCCTGGGACTTGGCACAATCACTAAAGGAGAATTTCAGCTGTAACTTACAGAGTGTACTCAGCTATGCAAATACTGATGAACCCAAGTCAGGGCTGTATATGAACATGACCATCAGGGTGTAGCATGAGGCCAAGGTTGTGATAGCTGACTACAGACGAGATTCCAGGCTCCATTTCACCCTGTTCCTGCTGCAGTCAGGCACACGGGCTGGGCTGCGTTCAGGTAATCCCCCGGAGTAGGAGACAAGTATGACCAAAACCTGCTGGAGCTGGACTTACGCCTTGAGAAAGGGGCTGTGGTGGAAAGGTGAGTGTTGGCACTGATGAAATGCATCAGGGTTCGCAGTCCCTGAAAAGCAGCCAAGTGGAGCAGATAACTCCTGTGTCACTCTCTGTCCAGCAGCCCCACTCTCGCGCTCAGGAAAGCTGGTGGCAGTCCTCTGCACTGTTGGGACAGGTGCTGTGCCGGGGTCCTGTGCAGCAGCACTGAAACTTCACTTAGCCCTTTGGCACTTAGATGCAGAGCCTTAGCGGGGGGGGCCTGGGGTGGGAAAAGGGTGAGTGGTCAGCCCTGGCCTGGTCACCATATCCCTGAGCCAGTTTAAACATACCTGGTGAAACTAGGGGATTGCTGGGGGGAGGTGCAGGGATGCAGAGGAAGAGGCTGCTTGGGGCATCGGAGGTGGATTTCTGCCCACTCGCTCCAGTGGCTCTGCTGTGCCCTTGTAACCCCAGGTGATAGCTGCATCCCTATCTCCCTCCACAGCTTGCGAGCGCAAGGCGACTACTGTCCTCTGGCTGACATTGATAATTTTTCAGGCTCAAAAATCAGCAGCCAGAACACAGCTTTCTGGAAAAAAGCCCAGCTCATGGGAAACGTGGCTTGACTTCAGGTATTGCATTGAGCTATTGGGGGGGGAAGCTCCCAGGGAAAAAAAAGGTCTTCTGAAAGTTCTCCTGGATCCACGTGAGCCTGGGAGTCCAAGCCAGGCTGGAAACGTGACAGACCTATGGACTCTGGTCAGCTGATGTTTGGTGTATTTGCAACTGGAAGGGCTCTCAGCTTGGAGGGATTTTTAATGGTTGATGACATATCAGCTCCCAGACTGTGGCCCCAAAAGCATGGCCAGGCTGCACTTGTATTACCTCTATATTTTTGCTCCTGAACTGTTTTGTAGCTGTACCCTTATGTGGAAGGGGTCTCACAAGGAGTTATGGGGCTCCTTTTCACCAGCTTCTGGGGACCATCTGGGAGTCAAGGTACAATTTCCCTTAAGGTCTTCTTTTAAAAGAAGAATGAAAAGAAAAACCAAAAGCAGAGCCCAGTGGGAAAGGAGATATTTGCTAACATGTGCTCATGTTCCTCAGCTCCTCCAGTGGCTCCGGCTCAACGGCACCCAGGCCAGAGCTGAAACCTCTGGCATCCAGGGGCGCACACCCGGCAACACCAGCCCCACTAGACAGGGGGGAATAGGGGGAAAATAACAAACCCCCTGAAATATAGCAAAGCCCTGAATTTGTGGAGGAGCCAGGCATGCCCCTGCATGGTTAGAGCAGCCCACCTGATAGTTTGGAGGCTTTTGCTGTTTAAATCATCCCTGGCACATGGGGCGCGTTGCGTTTACTGAGTATAT